GTAGTTAAGTCTTGGGACACAGCAAGTCTGAAAGAACCTTACCTTAACTCGTTTGGTTTAATAAACTTTGCTATTATTATTTTACCTATAAAATAGACAGCATTTAATAAAAAATGTATCCAAATAGCTTTATTGGTCTTATATCCTTTTTACCCTCTGCAAAGCACTCAATTTAAACAAAAAGGAATGTTATGAGATGGGCTAGTTAGAACTAATTATATAAAATGTACAAGGTAATCAGAAACCAAAGCTGAAGGTTAGTATTTAATCCATTGTTTTTACCTTTTTCCTATACCTTATACTAATTTCCTTTTAAACTAGACTGCCTAATAATATTACTTACAGTCTTATACTGACTTTTACGGTGACCTGTGTTCATCATTATGTTTTTTCAAACTTGTATGGATTCAAACTAAAGACATTTGTAACATTTTCATGACATCTCATCATTTTAAAGCTGCTAAAAGTTTACTGTCATCACCTTACTGAAAGTAAATTATTCAATCTCTCAGCTCTGCCTAATTGTGTGGATATTTACAATATCTTTCAAAGCAGTTCAGGGGTGACTAGTAGGGTGTAATTATAGAATCAGATTTTAGTTAAAGTTAAGAAACTGCACATCTTTATAAAACATTTTTAAGCCTTATAACTAACTTCAATGTGGTGTATTCATTTTGCTCTAATTCACCTTTTTTGTTTTCATTAACTATTTTGATTACTTCATTCCAGTTTAGCTAACTCTATTTTATTTCATTCTTTTTAATTATACCTTCTATTGGTTATATCGTGACAGTATAAATTTACACATAGTCTTTCTGTGATGAAGATGTATCGATTCTTTCTTCTTTTCCCGTGTAACTGTATGCAGGCACACACATTATACTCAGTGTTCAGATTCTGAAATATTATCTACATAAAAATGAAGCTAAATATTTATTTGAAGTAATGACAAGTAAGTTATAATAAAATGGAGAAATGTTTTTAACAATGATTTTCTGATCAGTTAATCAAAAGTATTATTGATAAAACTACAAAGATAAAATGACTTTCAGAAATATGTACTGGCATTTTGGAATACTGTTATCTCTGCAGTGAATTTTTCTGATAGTTTTATAATCTGGTAATATAAATGTACTGATACGTTGGAATACTGTTATCTCTGCAGTGAATTTTTCTGATAGTTTTATAATCTGGTAATATAAACGTACTGATACTTTGGAATACTGTTATCTCTGCAGTGAATCTTTCTGAAAGTTTTATAATCTGGTAATATAAATGTGCTGGTACTTTGGAATATTGTTATCTCTGCAGTGAATTTTACTGATAGTTTTATAATCCGTTAATATAAACGTACTGATACTTTGGAATACTGTTACCTCTGCAGTGAATTTTTCTGATAGTTTTATAATCTGGTAATATAAATGTGCTGGTACTTTGGAATACCGTTATCTCTGCAGTCAATTTTTCTGATAGCTTTATAATCTGGTAATATATAAGTCGGTAAATATCAGCACTGCATTATGTTTACACAAAATCAAAACATAACCAATCTGATGAAACTAAGGACAAATACCAAACAGTTGTTTATATAGTTCTTCCCCCATATAGAATATGTTTTTGTAGACAAGATTCATGAACTTAAAACTTATAATATCCTGCATGTAAAACATTTCTTAATGTATGTAGTGTTTGTTTGAAGTTAAGCACAAAGCAACACAATGGGCTACCTGTGCTCAGCCCACCATGGGTATCAAATCCCGGTTTATGGCGTTATAAGTCCACAGGCTTACCGCTGTGCCACTGGGGGGACATGTTTGTAGTGACTTTCAATCTTTCAATTCTTTAACTGCAAACTCATTATTGAATATTACTAATTCCATTTAACTTAAAACAGTTTGGGAGAAATAAATCAACATGGTGAGCTACCAAGAGAATGGAGGTTTCTGATGTCTTATTGTTTAGTATTTACACAAAGAAACAAAAGGTCCAGGAACAAAGAGAAGCATAAAACACAATATTATACTATGTGATTTTAAGGTACTTCACATATGTATAAAGCTTTCAAGAACAGAATATCTCTTTTAAACCAATAATAATAATAGGTATTCTGGTACTTAATCTTAAGTGTTCACAGCACATATTAAAATAAATAAAGCTGAGACATACCACAGCTAAACCAATACGTATATTTCAGAGCCATTATGAAATGTTTGGGTTGTATCCCATGCTAGTATTACAGTTGTATATTTGAGACATTGTTTTAACTACTTGTGGCTTAGTCATCACTATTAAAGTGTTGAAACACTGCCCTAGGTTGTATCCCATGACAGTATTATATGACATACTTCAGACATTGTTTCAACTATCTGTGACTTGATCATTACAATGAGTGTTGAAACCACTAGGCCATCCTTGGCCTAAATCTCAAGTTTCTTCCATCTTGTTAGTATGAATGAAGTAAGTATCTATTCAAGAATATAAACTGTTTATTTTAAAAACCAATATAAATACAGAAAACTTTTACCTGATGAGTCTGAATTTTTATCAGCTGTTGACATGTTTTCACTCGAAGTCTGACTGGTCACATTAACACCACATTTATCCTAGAGAAAAAATAAAGTTGTAGCACCTGAGATAACTAAAATACCTTTAGTCAGCAGGCCAATTCATAAAGTTTGAATTTTTTGTTTTCTTCCATTAGAACTAAGCCTCTTTAATATGTTGTTTAATATATGAGTAAAATCTAAGTCTGTTAAAAGTTCCAAGTTTAACACTGGTCTGCCTACAGTTATGAAAGATATGCTATAAGGTACAGCATAATTTTTCCAGTACAAAACATTCAAAATTAGAATGAGAGGTCAGTGTTCTTTAACAAATTAAAAATGCTTGATTTTGTCATGTAGAAAAAACATTGTCAGAGCCATAACCATGACTGCTATAATTTTCTTTATTGATTGAACTGAAAAAATTCTTCAATAACTCTTTCTGATGATTATAAACATTAAAATTCCATATAAAAACTAAATAACTTAATAATCACCATACAAAACTATCTTACAATTTTTCTTCAATGACAATGTTTAGTATTTTCAAACCCAACTGCACATTAACAGCCAGGTCAGAGATCCAAACATTCAGGCATAACTGTTCCTGATTTAGAAATGCTGTCCAAATATAGAGCAACTATCATTCAGCAACATTTATAACATGTATGGCCACTCTTAACAAAGTAGTGAGATTAATCATCACTTTTGTGACGTGCTCACAGCTAGAGATTTTCAGAGGCATATTGTGGGCTAGAACATTATGATTGACAGTTACTAGGCCATACTTAGCCCCAGTGAACTTGTATGTAATCCAAAATTTATCAATTATGTATTTTCCATTTATAATTGTAAAATTATGCTTATTTTACTGTTGGTCTCATATTAAGTTGAATTCAGTTCATATGATAAGTACACAGGAAAATATCAACATTAGCATTAAACTTTCTATTTTATTATTTCACGCAAATTTCGGTAAGTAGCACATTATACACCCGATACTTAATACTGTAATTATGTAGAGTTCACAGTTGATCGATAATTTAGTTGGATTCTTAACTCATAGTGAATTCACTAGAAATGTGCTCTCTGTTTTAACAGAAATGTAGCTAGCTACTCAAAACTGTAAATGTTCAGTACTTTTTTTTTGTTTCACACAAGTTTATGGTTTGAGTCATAGTTAGTCTTTGCCAAAGAGGTAATGTGTGTGTATATCTATTAAGTAAAATGATTAGTCTTTGCCAAAGAGGTAATGTGTGTGTGTGTATGTCTATTAAGTAAAATGAACATTTATTAAAAACTACTATGTTAGGATTTTTTTTTCTGCAAGTACAAGTATTATACATCTATTTGAAAAGTTTGCTTATATTTGTTCAAAACTACACAAGGGCTACCTGAGCTTCCTACCATTAATTTTAAAATGATAGACTGGGGAGAAGACAACTAGTCAACACCTCCCACCACCAACTCGTCAGATCTAATAGTGGGATTTGACTACTACTCTCACAATGCATCCTTGGTTCAAAAGTGCAGAGTGCAATTTTCGTTCTTTGGATGTGAACCACAGTGCATAAAACTAACCACTGGGCCATGCATACACCAATTTTTTTTGTTCTTTGGATAGTTAAACTTCCTTTAAAAAATTAGGATCAAAAGTAGAATACTCATTTTCTAATTTAATACTTGTGTTCTAGCTTAGGTGGAGTTGTAAGTGAAATTACCTTAAATGAAAATATTCTATTTTCTATATTCTATGGAATAGTTCAGTGCAGAACAAAAACTGGTAAGTTTCTTTGAGTTCAACACTATCTTAACTGTTTTTACAAAACTGGAATGAAGAAGAAAGCTTTATACTATTATGCTCTTTAATGCTTTAAAATCAAGCTTTTGTTTTATTCTACTCATGTGAATGGATAAAGTATGACAGCAATGCTTATGGTAGTATTTACCAACATTGCTATCTCAATAAAGCTTTAATGATATATGCCATGCAATAAGTCATTTGTGAAAAAAAATAAAAAAAATTCACAAATTCAAAAGTTATGAGGCAAGTCAGGTCATGCCTATTTAGGCACCTCTTTAACCCTAAAAATCAGGAGTTATCACACAGAAACTAGCGGTTGTTTTTGGTCATCAGAATATCTGGCAAATGATAACATTTACTAAAATTACCTTTTAACAATGGCTTAGTATTAGTAGTTTTGAAAAATGCAAATTCTGTGCTCATTAGTTCATATTTGAAAATGAGTTCCACCTCCAAACAAGTGTATTTAAAGTGTTCAGCTGTGCCTTGGAATATTTTTATTGCCATGATTTGTATGATGACAGAGCAGTGAAAATCTCCTTCAGTTTTCTGAAGATGTTTCAAAATTCACAGCTGATAACCAAGATGATTGCCATGATGGTGAAAGTCAATTGAAATTGATTTGGGTTATTTTTAATGCTACCACAATGATGACACCTCTATTAGCAGATAGTGAATTGAGGAGGTTGATTAAGGTTCTAGTAGAACTATGATTGTAAGAGTTCAATGTTTACCATACATAAGTTATTACTAAGTTTAAACAACAATACTAGAGTCTAGAATAAGGTTTAACAATATTATACATCATTTTGAACTTTTATTAAATGTGATTCATCTTTATTATTTATGGTTTCAAAATGGGGAAAATATTACCACAGTATAGTCAACAATGAGAGAAACAATGTCTCATGTAACAAACATTACAATGAGTTATTATTTTCACTTAATCATTTGCATTACTTGTGAATTAATAAAAATGAGGGAAAAAAGTATGGTGTAGGTGTATTTATATCTAGAAAATATGATATTCCAAATGAAATATGTCAGATTGAATAATGTATGAAGAAACTGTCTCAATACTAAATATGCAGATAGAATTTTTATTTGTAATAATTAAATAGTATATTACAAAAAAAAAAGATAATACTTTTCATGTTCAAAGTCTAAGAATAAGAACAACAACAAGCAATAGGTGCTGTCAAAGCAAAACAGAACTAAATACAAATATTATTTCTTTTATAATACAAACATTTCTAATGGTTATATTTTAGTACTAAAAATGTGAATAGTTTTTATAAATTTACTACATTTTCAATATTTTAAACATAAAATATTTTTTCCATTTTTATTTTAAGGTATTTTTCTTTATGAGAGCCATGGTGCTGGTTCATACCTTCAGCTTTTTTCTTAGTTTCTCTACTTGATGTTGTAGCTTCCAGCACTCTTGATATTTAATTTGATATTCAACAGCTGCAGCTCTTAACCGTGCTTGTAAGTCAGCCACTTGGAATGCGTACTCTGCTTCATCAAACTGCAAAAAGAAAAAATAATAATGGTGAAAAAATACCTGGAAATAACAGAGTAATATACCTTACTAAGTTCATACACACTCATTTTCAAGTACACTGTTCACATTGTTTTGTTAGTCCTGATTCCCTCTGTATTACTGTTTTTACCATTTTTATTGATATAGTTATCAAAATATCAGTTTTTTTTGGTAGTATCACTATAGTTTTGCCCCTATTTTTTATATGAATATCCAAAAACAAAAACAATTGATCTTATTTAATTCCTTCACCCGACAACATTATTTGATGATTATGAGATGGCTGAGTTATTAAATTTTACTTTTTCTTTGATTTTTACTAATGCAGATTTAAGCATTATTCCAATTCTTGATCACTTGATAAATGGAAACGAGATCAAACAAGATGACTGCATTAATTCTGAGCTGGTTAAGAAAATATTGGGAAGTTTAAAAAATGATAAGGCTCCTGGGCCAAATAATATTTCTCCAAAGGTTTTGAAGGAGGTTAAAGATTGGATATGTGAACCATTTGCTACTATTTTTTGTCAGTCCTTGAAAAGTGGGCAGGTACCAGAGGATTGGAAGTTAGCTAATGTAACTCCTCTTTTCAAGGGAGGTGATAAAAATTGTCCCAGTAATTATAGACCCATTAGACTTACATCAGTTGTGGGAAAAATTTTGGAAAGTCTGATAAAGGATGCTTGCAAAGTCATTTAACAAAGTTTAGAATTTTATTGGATAGTCAACATGGTTTCACTAAGAGAAAATCTTGCTTTACAAGTATTTTAACATTCTTTGAAAAGGTTACTGCTTATGCAGATGAGGGTAAGGGTGTAGATTTGGTATATCTGGAATTTCAGAAAGCATTTGACAAGGTGCCACATAAAAGGCTTGTAAAAAAAATTAGCTCTATAGGTGTGGGGGATAAGTTGGAAGATTGGATAGAGGAGTGGCTAGATGGAAGAAAGCGGAGGGTTGTTACAAATGGAGTTCAATCAAACTGGATTAATGTCACAAGTAGAGTACCTCAGGGCTCAGTCTTATGACCTTTGCTCTTTTTGATTTACATCAGTCACATAGATGAAGGGTTAGTCAATAAATTTCTTAAATTTTCA